TTGTTGTGCAATCTTTTCCATAATCCTCTATCTAGAACTGTTTATTTTGCAAAACTGAAATATTATACCATGAAATAGTTGCACCCTAAATCTCCCTTCCCAGGGGCTGGGGTTCTACTTTCTGGATCTGAGTGGAAGCATATAGTATTCATCCTTTTGTGACTAGTTTATTTCACTTAAATTTCCTAAGCTTGGGCTGGTGAGATGGCTCAGTGGTCTAAAGCACCTACTTAGAACAAGCTTAGCAAAGCACAGGGACCACACAGTTCAATCCCCCAGCACCACATGCCAGCCAGCCCCGCCCCCTGGTGGGCTGAGCTGGCCACACACACACACACACACACAAAATTAAAAAAAAATTTCCTCAAGCTTCATCTGTATTGTACCATATGTCAGAATTTCTGTCTGTCTCTCTCTCTTGATAGGGTCTATGTAGTACATCCTGATCCTTTTTTTTTCTCCTTCTTTCTTTCTTTCTTTCTTTCTTTCTTTCTTTCTTTCTTTCTTTTTTTTTTTTTTTTTTGCACTTAGTACAAGGTCTACAGGGTCTCACTACACAGATTGGATTCGTAGTGATCCTTCTGTTTTCAGCCTCCCAAGTGCTGGGATTACAGGCACGCACCTCCACTCCCAGTCTTAATCTCAGTCTCAGTGTGCCCTGGGGGCAGGACTGATAGTGGCATGCCAGGGATGGAACCCCAGCCCCTGCATCTGTCTAAGCAGGTGATTTAATCTCCTGAGCTATCTGGCCAGCCCAACAGCCTGATCTTTTTTTTTCCTTTCTTTCTTTTCTTTTTTTTCCCGGAACTGGGGGTTGAACTCAGGCCCTGGCGTTTGCCAGGGAAGTGTTTATTCCACTGAGCTATCTCCCCAGCCCCCCAACAGCCTGATCTTGAACTCACTATGTAACCCAGGCTGGTCTTGAGCTCACAGTGATCTTCCTGCCTCAGACTCTGGAATGCTGGGATTACAGGCATGTCCCACCATACCTGGAAGTTTCCTTTTCTTTCTCTTTCTTTCTTTCTTTTTTTTTTTTTTTTCTTTCTTTCTTTCATGTGTTTGGTACAAGGTGTCACTACACAGTTCAGACTTGTAGTGATCCTCCTATTTTTAGCCTTCCCAGCACTGGGATTATAGGTGTGTGCCACCACTCCCAGCTCAATGTGCCCCAGGGGTGGGGCCAGCACAGTTTGGAGTATCAGGGATTAAACCCTGGTCCTTGCACTTGTCTAAGTAGGTGCTTAGTCTGCTGAGCTATCTCGCCAGCCCTAACTTTCTTTCTTTTTAAGACTAGTATTCCACTGTACTTTTGTATGTATTCCATTTTGCTTACTCATTTATCTGTCTGTGGACATTTCCGTTGTTATTGTGGATAGTTCCATTATGAATATAGGTGCACACATATCTGCTCTCATAGATCTTTCTCACCTACTTAATTCCTCTTGCCTGAAGCCCTTCTCAACCTCCTTAATCTCCTGGCTTGACCAGCCTCTGCTTCTTTCCAACAGCCATCTGTTGAAGAGTTAGTATCCACAGCAGGGCCCACCATGGAAGACACTGAGGTAAGCGGGAGCCAGTTCCTGTCCTAAGGAGTCTGGCTCAGATGAGGGCAGACACACTGATTTAGTGTCACTGTGTGCAGCACAGCATCAGAAGGACAGGGCAGATGTGAACTTTGGCTGGAGAGTTGGGAAGGTTTTTGAGCTGGGTCGTGCATAGGGAGCTTTCGAGAGCCAAGGGGGTATCTGAGGTAGAGACTACTGGCAAAGTAGGGCAGCAGGTAAGAGTTGTAAGAGTCATTTGTGTGTGGACAGAGGAGGTGGCTGGGATCCAAGGAGATTAAAGCAGTTTAGGGACCACTTTGTTACAGTATTTATACCCAAGCTGCCTGCATTCCGAAGGATAACTCCAGGAGAGCAGGCTACATCTCAGCCTTCCCTGCTTGACACCTGGCACCTACATAAGACTGAACTCCCCATGGTTAAAACCTTGCAGGGAACACCACGCAATCATGGTGAGGGTGCCCCCTAGCGGCCACTAAAGCTCCTCTCTCCTCCCTCCAGTGGGGACAGCGCACCACTGAGGTTTTGCCATCCCATGTGATTTCCACCCCTTCCAAAGAGGATGTTCACTCCAGGTCTAAACACTTACTCTGTGTTGATCTCTGTTATAGGTGTTAGCATAGCGTTTGAGCGTTAATTACTCAGCCCCAAAGTTACTTAGAGAGAACCAAGAATGGGAGGCCAAGGAAAAGACCAAAGGAGCCATCTTTTGAGACTCAAAGGGTGGGCAAGTGCCCAGCAAAGGAGGTTAGGAAGGAGAATACAGTGCTCTATGGAAGGGAACAGAGAACGAGCTTCACTCCTGCCTGTTGCCCACACAACATTTGCCAAGCAAGTGCCATTAACTGAGGTCACACAGGGTGAATGAAGCGATAGAGACCAGCTCACAACTTGGCAGGAAGACAGACACCTGCACAAAGAAGGCAGCCCCCTGTGCAGGGTCCTGCTGGCAGGCAGGGGTGTGAAACAGGGAAAGCCAGCCAGCTGGTGCTCCCTAAGTTGAGCTAAGGGATGAGAATGGGGAGGTGGGCTGGGCAGACAGCACAGTGGTAAAGGCGTTACCCCTCCCTCGCCCAGCTGCTGCCTCACAGGTGTGCGAAGCTGCGCAGGTGCACTTGGAGCTTCACACATGCGTTTTCCTGTTGCTCACAGGAAGCCCTACCAACCCTGGAAGCTCAGACTGAGGCCCTGCACTGTTGGGGGTTGGATCTAGCCCTCCTAATCCTTCTCTAGGCCTTGGAAACTTCCCTGCACTATGTTTCCTCACCTGGCAAATGAAAATAGCAGTACTTTTGTCCCAGGATCCTGTGCTGAGCCAATTTGAGATGTGAAGAATTTCACTAGTGCTCTCCAGGTACTTGACAATACTTATTTATTTATTTATTTATTTATTTATTTTGGTGGAACCAGGGATTGAATTCAGGCCCTTGTGCTTGCCAGGGAAGCGCTTATTCCACTGAGCCATCTCCCTGGCCCCGACAATACTAATTTAATTTTTTAAAAAAATGTATGTGGTACAGGATCTCACTATGCAGCTCAGACTCATAGTGATCCTCCTGTTTTCAGTATCCCCAGTGCTGGGATTACAGGCATGCGCCACCACACCTGGACTTAGTTCCTGTGCATGCCTAAGCAGGTGCTTAGTCTGCTGAGCTATCTCATTGGGCCTACTAATTTAATTTTTTTGTTTTTTGCGGACCTGGGGATTGAACTCAGCCCTTGCACTTGCCAGAGAAGCACTTATCCCACTGAGCCATCTCCCTGGCCCCTCTAATTTAATTTTTTGAGATAGGGTCTCACTTTGTTTAACAGGCTGGCCTTGAATTCAGTATGTAGCCCAGGCTAGCTTTGAATTCACAGTAAGGCTGAGGTTCCTGCTTCAGCCTCCCTTGCGCTGGAATTACAGGCGTGTGTCACTATACCTAACAAGAATACTAAATCTCTAATGACTGGCATTCTCTGGCACAAAGAAGCTCAGTGTAAGTTGTGGAATAATTAGAAATATGATTCTACCCAGGTATATTGGCACATCCCTATGATCCGAGCACTCTAGCAGAATGATGCAGGATTCCAAGTTTGGACCAACCCTGGGCCATTTAGTGAGACCCTGTCTCAGAATTAAAAAAAAATTAGAGGGTGGGGATGTAGCTCAGTGCAAAGGCCCTGGGGTTACCAGTAACACATGTTTATGGAGGGGGTAGACACAGGAGGTTGCTTGACTGGAGGGGTGTGGGTTGGAATGTGGCCCTTCAAATAAAAGCTGTCAGGCTTGGGAGAAAGCTCAGAGGCATTAAGCACCTACCTGGCAAGCACAAGGTCTTGAGTTTGAACCCCAGATCCGCATGCCATGCTGGGCCCGGAACTGCCAAGCTCCTACAAATTTGTGATCAGGCTGGGGGCTATAAAAGCAAGCACAAGGCTGGCCCCAACTGTAGAGAGACCCTGTCTCAAAAAAAAAAACAAAAAACAAAAAACAAAAACGAAAAAACTGCTCAGAAGCCTAGAGCCTAGGAAGGAGCCGCATTCTTTTTTTTTTTTTCCGGAACCGGGAATTGAACTCAGGCCCTTGTGCTTGCCAGGGAAGCACTTATTCCACTGAACCATCTCCCCAGCCCCGGAGCTGCATTCTTGTGAAGGCAGAGCTTGTTACGTGGGATGGCAGCCGGTGACCTGGGGCCCATCAGGTAGAGAGAAGGGCCAGGGTTTCCCAGGCATGGTAGTACACACCTGGTATTCCCTGCTACTCAAGAGGCACAAGTAGGACTGCAAGGTTGAGGCCAGCCTGGACAACTTAGTGATAATTTTCAAAATAAAGAAGAAGAAAGGGGCCGGGGAGATGGCTCAGTAGAGTACGTGCTTGCTTGGCAAGCGCAAAGGCCTGAGATCAATCCCTGGTTCCACCAATAAATAAATAAATACAAACTAAGAAAGAAGACTGGGTGTAGTGGCTCACACCCCTAACTCCAGTGCTTGGGAGGCTGAAAATAGGAGGATCACGAGTGCTATCTGTGTAGTGAGATCCTGTACTAAATACATTTTTTAAAAAAAGATGAGGGGTGTAGCTCACCAAAATAGCCCCACATTCAATCCCCAGTACCAGCCCTAGAGGTGGGGGACAAACAGCCAGGGTTCCAGCTATGTGCTTCTTTGTCTCAGCAACTGCAGTTTTAGTTAGAGGCTTGCACCATTAAGTCTCCACTGCTCAGCAGCACTTGGCCTTTCCTAACCCTGCTCCCAGGGACCTCTCACCCCCTCTCCAGTGGTCAAACCTGACACATCTCTCCACCCTCAAGATGGGGCAGTTTCGGGAGAGGTAGGAAAACCTGTTCAACAGGGTGGCCAAAGGTGGAACTGGTTAGATAGGCAGTTTCATCTCCCCCCATCAACCTTGTCCCTTTCCCGTTTCAAAGAACAAAGGCAGAAACCCCACAAAACAAATCATTTCATCTTATTTATTTTTGCAGAGCTGGGGACTGAACTCCCAGGGTCCCATGTGTACTAGGCAAGCACCTTGTTGCCAAGTTGTACCCCCGGCCTCATATACCTTCTTTCGAGTGCAGTGGACCTGTGGAAAGCTGAGGAAGGGTTGGGGTGAAATGTTGGGGAGCCCTGGGGTGAGGGGGTGAAGGGTGCAGCACTCTTTCAGCTCTGACTGCTTGTCTATACTAGGTTAGGGTTGGCTACAGGCAGACAGTTCAATCCTGAGGGAAGAGGATGGCAGTCATCTTTGATTCCTCTCACCCCACCGTATTAGATGCAGACAAAGCCCTTCTCCAGGGCTGGGGATTCAACCTAGGACCCCTGGCACACACTCTACCACTGAGTTCCATCCCCAGCACTCCAGAAGCAGTTCTTTCCAGCACAAACTACATAGGGAAGTCCCCCTCCCACCCCGAACTGTGCAGAACAGAAGGGCAGCTACGGAGGACACCACCCCAGCTTCCTTCCCAGAGCCAGGGGGTGGCAGCAGGCAGCTTTGAACACAACAAAACCCAGTTTCAGCACATCCAACTACACAGTACTGGCTCAGGGGTTTGCTGCTTGCTTCTAGACTCTTGAGCTTTCTCAGGAACTGGCCCAAGCTCACTGAGACTTCTCCAAGAGGGAAAAAATCTCCTGCATGGAAATCTGGGAAACAGGCAGGAAAAGTCTAGTTCCAAAGTGTCCCCAGTGTTCATGAGCAGAGTGCCTTGACTCAGAGTGGCCGGGTCGTGTGATTATAGACAAGGTGCTCTGTGTCTTCAGTGGTGGAGACAGTGGAGCTGGCAGGCGTGGGTGGCGGGTGGTGGCGGTGTCTTCGGAAGCCCTTTTTCTGGTTCTTGAAGAAGCAGTAACCCAGGATGGCTATCACCACTACAATGCAGGTGACCAGGAGTGCAGCCATGGCCACTTCCACTGAGCCTGTGAGCAGAAAGGGCACAATGAGGGTTCCCAAGGCCTGCCTTGTTCTGATGCCTGTCCCAACTCTAGAGAAGAGACCAAGGCAAACAGATGCCAGGCGCAGAAGCACATGGGCACCCAGCTCAGACCTCCAGCACAAAAGCATAGTTCACCAGCTGCCCGAGGAACTCAGAAGGATAGCAATAGGTCTCAGATCTGGATCCAAGCAAGGGGCTTGGGGAAAAGACTGGGTCTCTGCAGGCAGCCATCACGCCAGTGTGCACTTTGCTGTACTTCCCCACCCCTCGCCATTGTATCACGGCATGCTGTCCCCGTGGGAGACCTCAGGCAGCCATACCAGTCATGTGGAGTGGATTCCCTGAGCGACACCTAGGCATCCACCTCGGCAGAACAAGACCAAGCCTTACCTGTGCTGGGAATGGAGCTCTCCCGCCGCAGCCCAAACACATCCTTCTCTGCAACACAAGGGAGGCAGAGATAGGGGGCTCTAAGGGCTCTGAGGTTCAGCTGCTCCCAGAGCCCCAGCCCATCTACACCATCCTTTCATGACCAATGCAGGTACTCAGGACAGAGGGGTGACCACCCTGACTGGAACAAAGCAGGCCTTCCCTCCACACACCCTAGCCCGCCACCAGGCTCACTAGAGATGCCGCCACAGGATTCCAGGCACTGCTGCTCTTCCTCAAAGTTGTTACTGTTGCCATAACAACCACCGTAGGTAAAGCGGGCACAGCGTTCACTGAAGGGGTTGTAGTACCAGCGTGGGATGCTATCCTTGCAGGTCCCCGTGTCTGGGGGGTCCACACAGTGCCCTGGGGTAGAGGCAAGCAAAAGGGTGAGCCCCCAGGGCCTCCATGCTCACCTGGCGGCTACCCCTTCAAGGGCGAGGGGGCCCAGAAACACTGCCCCCTTTATGCCAGGAACACAAATCCTGGACACTAACATAGGCATGCCATAGGACTCACATATTTATTTCTCCTTCAATTTGTTTTAACTTTTCTCACTGTGATAAGGTTTTCTATCACTGCTTTAACAAAGAAGATGGGCCTCAGGGTCTGAGTGTTGGCAGCTAAAATGTCTAGGGAAAATTTATTCACACTGTCTTATTGTATTTATTCTTATCATTACTTTCGACGTGCGGCAAATCATAGCTGTTTTCCCCTTATGGCACTGGTCAGGGGTGGTGGCACAGGTCTGCAATCCCAGTACTCACAAGGCTGAGCCAGGAAGATTATTGCAAGTTTGAGGTGAACCTGGGCTACATAGTGGGTTAAAGACCAGCCTTCATGAACTACATAGCAAGGCTTTATCTCAGAACAACCAAACTGAAACAAACAAATCCCCCTAAAAATCATTCATGGCTCTGATGTGAAACTTCCTTTTTAGCACATTAACAGTGATTACATGGCAACAGTCGTGAAGATATCTAGCTGACTAGTGATGCCTGGGAAGCAGAGCCATAGAAGGCAGCTAGGGAGCTCCTCCCCTGACTGTGCCCTCAGCCTGGCAAGGTCCTTCAGGCAGTGCCAGATGGGATGAGGAGGGCAATGCCAGCCCAGAGGACTTGGGGAGGGCCTCACCTTTGTCACTGAGGATACGGATGTTCTGGAGCTCGTCGAAGCCAGTGGTATCTGCAGATATGAAAGGTCAGGCGTCCAGCCCAACAAGGGTTTCTCCAGGGTGCAGGTGTCAGGACCTCCCCTCCTGTTGCCCACCCTTTCTCTCCAATCCCAGGCCTCACATTTTTCACAGGTGGCCTCATCGGAGCCGTCAGGGCAGTCTGGGGTGTCATCACACTCCAGGAAGCTGTCGATGCAGCAGCCATCACTGCAGTGGAACTGGGTGGGCTGGCAGCTGCCTGAGCATACTGGCAAGGGGTAGGACGACACAGGGTGAGTGCAGGCTCAAGCATGGAGACAGTGCCAGGGGCCAATGATCTGCTTGGCCCTCTCTACCCTCCCAGCACCCCCCCCCCCGTGGACTTGGCACATCCCAACAGGAAGACAGTGGGTTGGTAGGAGTGGGGGCTTTGGGGCCTCCCATATGATGAGGGCAGGGGTGGGGAGGGCAAGGCAGGCTGGTTGGGGAACAGACATGATAGGACTGGACATGTAGTGGGGTGAAGCAGAAAGAGGAAGCCCACCTGGATGCTGCCTTTCCATCGAGGGCCCTAGAGGGAAAGAAAGTGACAGCAGGTATGGCCAGGCTCTACATGGATAAGACGAGTGGGAATGGGGACTGCCCCAGCTGCCCCGACTGATGAGGAGATACCCATTCTAGGGGAGGTCACTCGAGCCCGGGCTGCTCCTCAAAGCCCACCTTGCACATCCCGGCAGGCCATCATGCACTCCTCCTCCCGAAGGTAGTTGTTCTTGTTGCCCAAGCAACCCCCATAAGTGAACTTCTTGCAGATTTTGTCTTTGGGGTTGTAGTACCAGCGGGGGAAGGCACCCCTGCAACGGCCCACTTTGCTAGAGGCAAGGCAGTAGTCTGGAGGAGGAGGAAAACAGGTGAGGGGCCTGCAGGGACACAGCGGGGTAGAAGGTTGGGCGCTCCAGGTGCCACCTGCCAGCCCCCCTCACCTTCTGTCTGCTTGGCGGACAACACAGTGATTGTGACATTTGCTGTACCCTGTGGCTCATCTGAGCCAGTAGCTGTCAGCTGGAACAGGTAGGTGCCTTCCTTGAGTCCCCACAGCTCCAACTGGTCCGGCTCTTTCCTCTACACACAGGACTGGCCATCAGGACTGTGCACCCTCCATGCCCCTAGGTTACCCCAGGCCTCTCAGCAACACCCACCCACCCACCCGGGAAAGCAAGCACAGGTATGTGGTATTAATTCAACTCTTCCCCACCTTCTACCCACCCACACACCCAGAAGGGCTGAGGGGAGAGGGGTTAGGGGGTGGCTAGGGTCTCACCTCAATGCTGACTCCGGTGTCACCCTGAAGTAGGTGCCAATCTGTGTTGCCCACATCCTTCAGCACCAGGGGTTCCTGGGGTTGTACCTTCAAGTCTATGCCCACCCAGGCCCTGGGGATCCGGGACCCTGGGGGAAGGCGGGGGAAGCTGAGCTCTCACTGAACAGACTAAGTCTCTGCTGGGGAAGAAATGCGGAGGGGGCAGCTCAAACCACACCTGAGCCAACCTGGGACTCAACAGTGCCGTGAGGGCAGGTGTTGTGTTTGCTATTTGGAGACATTATGTCTAAGGAATACAGAAGACATTTTCATGCTGTAAAGCCCACTTTCTGAAGGAAGTTGCTGAACAGAATGTGCCGACTCATCTCATTTAGGAAGGAAAAAGTACGTGTGCTTGGAGGAGTAAGCTTGTTTCTATTTTCTATAGTAAGCAAGTACTTGTGCTAACTGCTTTAGAAGTTAAAGTAAACTGCTGCATGCCTGTAATCCCAGCACTCTGAGAGGCTGAGGCAGGAGGACTGCCAAATTCAAGTCCGGCCTAGGCAATTTAGTGACTTAGCAAGACCTTGTCGCAAAATACAAAATAAAAAAGGTCTGATGATTGTTGCTCTGTGCAAAGACCCTAGGTTTACTGAAGAGAAAAAGAAAAAAAAAAGTTAAACTGGGTACGGTGGCACATGCTTCTAATCCCACCTGCCCAGGAGGCTGAGACTGAAGGCTCCAGCAGGAAGATCTCAAGTCCAAGATCAGACTGGACAACTTAGTGAGACTGTTTCAACATAAAAAGGTGATGTAGCTTTGCAACAGAGAAACCCTGAATTCAATCACCAGTACCAAAAAAAAAAAAGGGCTGGTGACATGGCTCAGTGGTCTAAAGCACCTACTTAGAATAAGCTTAGCAAAGCACATGGACCGCGGTTCAATCCCCAAGCACCACATGCCAGCCAGCCCCGCCCCCTGGTGGGCTGAGCTGGCCACACACACACACACACACAAATAAATTTTTAAAAAGGCAAAAAGTTAAATAACTCATTTAAAAGCAAAATAAGGAAACAAGTGATTAAAACTCATCACACTCACTCTGTTAAGCTACATGATACAGAAAAGCCCATCTGGACAGAGGCAGTGGCCATGGGAACCAGGCACTCTGTCACCCCAGATCCTGCCTCTGGTTGGGGGGGGGGGATCACAGCCTCTGTCCTCAAACTGACACCCTGTGCCCACACTTTCTTAGCTCAGGGTGAGGGCACGGGACAGGGAGACAACACAAAACAGGACTCCTGTCTGTAGCAGGTTGAATGGTGGCCCCCAAAACTTGTGTCTATAGCAAGCCCCAGGGACCCATGAATGCGGCCTCATTGGGAACGCCTTTACTAAAGTGAATAAGTAAAGGATTTCTAGAAAAGAGCAACTCAATAGTTGGGTAGGTCCTAAATCCAATAACAAGTGTCCTCATAAAAACAGAAGAACAGAGTGAAAGAAGAGATTGTCATGTGATGAGAAGCACAGACCCCGTGATGTGGCCATAAGCCAAGGAAACCAAAAGTAGGAAGAGGCAAAAAGGATTTCATTCCTAGAGTCTTTGGATGTAGTGTATCCTTGATAACACCTTGTTTTATTTATACTCTCTGGCCTCTAGAACTTTTAGAACCATGAGAGAATACATTTCCATAGTTTTAAGCCACTCAGTTTGGAATAATTTGTTACTCCAGCCTTAGTAATTAACATGGTCCCTGGCAGGGACCACAGTCCAGAAAGCAGAAAAGATCTAACAATACAAAGCCAGGTGTGTACAAGGGAAGACAGCAGGATCTGAGTGAAGGGAAGAAGTCTCTAGAGAAGGACTTTTTTTATTTTGAGATAAGGTCTTGCTAAGTTACTAAGTTTGCGAAGTTACTAAGTTTTCCAGGCTAGGCTTAAACTTGCAATCCTTTTGCCTCAGCCTCTCAAAGTGCTGAGATGACAGATGTACACCACCAGACCCAGTTTGGAAGAATTTGAAGACATTTTTGTTCTTGTTGGGCTCGTAGTGGAGAATATGGGGTGGCTTATGACAACAGAAAACATGCAAAATCAAATCAAGCAGCTAGAGATTTGTGAGGCTAGTTGGACAGACAGTAAGGAGACCAGCCAGCTGGACAAATCTCCACGCACCTAGATGCTGCGGTGTTTGGACAGAAGAGAAGTAATATTCAAACATTAAATAACTAGTGGCACGTGGGGGACAGACACTGGTCACGGGCACAGGAGCAGAATCCTGGAAGCCTGGCAGCAGCAGACCTGGGAGGCTGTGAACTGGAGAATCACTGAGTCTGATCTAGTAGTGAGACCCTGAACACCCTGTAGACCCTTCCCTAAAATATACAAAAAAATAAAAATAAAATCTGAAAGGTACAAACAGGTAGTGAATATTGAATCACCTTTTCTTCCTTTTTTTTTTTTTCTTTTTGAGGCAGTCTACATAGTCCATGCCAGACTTGAACTAAGTAGCCCAAACTGGGCTGGCCTCAAACTCTTTCAGATCCAGGTCTACCAGGTCTAAGGGAGGGATCCGGGGCTGAAAGTGGGCAGCTCCTGCTTGGGCAGTGAGGGCAGAGGTGCAGGGCAGATGTAATAGGACGTTCCAAACCACAGAGCAACCACAGGAACTGAAAGGAAGGGGAGGTGAGAAGGACTGGCAGACACACACCTCAGACTTCTCAGAACAGGCTCCTCATAATGCAGAGGAAGAATCCAGGCAAAGGCAGAAGGGAAACCAGACTGAGAGGGAAGGTGTGGGTTCCCTCATAAGAGAAGCTGAATTTGAAATAAGACCAATGCCCAGCTGGGCAGAGTAGTGCACACCTGTAATCCCAGCACTTGAGAGTCTAAGGCAAGAGGATCACTTCATTCTTCAGTACCAAACAAAACAAAACCAAACCCAAAAGAAAGAGAAAAAAGGTGGGAGGGTGCTGGGGAGAGAGCTCAGTGGTCTAAGTGCCTACCTGACAAGCACAAGGTCCTGAGTTTGATCCCTGTTACTACATGCTGTGCAGGCCCCAGAACCTCAGGCACAACATGCTACGATGGCACTCGCCTATCATCTCAGTGTTGGGGAGGCTGAGACAGGAGGATTGCTAGGAGTCCAAACCTCACAGCGAGGGCCTCACGATGCAGCTTGAACTCATAGAGGTTCTCCTGGTTTCAGCCTCCCCAGTGCTGGGATTACAGGGGCCCATCACTATGTCCAGACTCTGCAGTTCTCTCAGCCTGCCCTGGGGGCAGGGCTGGTGCAGCATGCAGCACTGAGGATCAAACCCTGGTCTCTGTGCTTGCCAAAGCAGGCACTTAGTCCGCTGAGCTATCTCATGAACCCCGGCCCTATACTTCTTTTTGTTTTGTTTTTGTATTTTAGGGCAGGGTCTACAGGGTGTTCAGGGTCTCACTACTAGATCAGACCAGTAGTGATCCGCCTGTTTACAGCCTCCCAAGAGCTGGGATTACAGGCACGCACCACGATGCCCAAGCTCAATCACCCTCTCAGCGAGCCCGGGGGTCTACTTGGCTGGCCCTAAATTTTTTTTCTTTTTTGTAGTACCAGGGATTGAATTCAGGACTTTG